GTACATCTAGGAGTGTGGTTCTGGTGTAGTTCGCTCCTTCTTCCCTACCAAACATATTATATCCTCCTTTTCTCTCCTTCTTTGTGATTTTGTTACTCTCTTGTAACACCTCTAATTTCCGGCACTTATAATATGACCTAGTTATATTGCAAGTGCCGTAAAACCCTTACTAAAACAATACAACATGTCTATCTAGGACGGTCTATTGAACCTTTGCGGCTGAGAGAACACTACCTCATTTAGCATGTTTGTGTTGCTACGCGACGCCTTAACCAGCACCATGGCAACGGTCAATGTGACCCAGATGACCCTGGCTGTGGTGACATTTGGCCTTGTGGTCCACTGGGTCGTGAAAAGGAACTCGGTCAAGCTACCACATGGGCCCAGGCCACTACCTTTCTTTGGGAATCTTTGGGAACTCAATGGTAAGTTTTGGGAGTGTTTGTTTCTAGCCAGGTAGTGTTGTCTCCTCCTCCTCCTCCTCCTCCCCCTCCCACAACCCCCTTCCCCTCCTCTTCTTCCTCATCCTCTTTCTCCTCCTCCCCATCCTCCTCCTCATCCTTTCCCACCTAACCCCTTCCCCTTTTCCACCTCTTCTTTCCCCTTTTCTTCCTCCTCTCCCTCCTGCTCCTTTTTCTTATATAAATGTGAAGCGTGCTAACAAAATGAGTTCCTTCTCAGATTCAAGCCGTATGGAAACAGATACATCACGCTTGTAGGTGAAGGTTTTACAGTTTATAAGTGTGAAATAATAAAAGGAATGTTATAGTTAAAGAATATGGCATCAATAGAAAGTTTATAATTTTTGACCCTAGTGTCGGCTTTTGGCCAATGTATCCATTGCTGGATTGCAAGAAGTAACTAATTTTGTCAGCTCGCCTCACAAATCTTTTTTCTCCCTTTTCTACTCTCGCTCTCCTCTCTTTCCTTCTCCTCCTTTTCTTTCTCCTCCTCATCCCCGTCCTCTTCCTCCCTCTTTTCTCTCCTACTCCTTATTCTTATCCTTCTCCTCCTCTCTTATCTTCGACTCTCCTTCTCTCTTCCTTCTCCCGTCCCCATTTTCCCACTACCTTCCCACCTCCGCTATTTCTCCTCCCTTGCTCCTTCTTTTTCTCTCTCTCCTCCCCGCCACCCTTCTTTAATTTTCTTCTCCCACAACCCAAAACAAACCCCAAAACAAAACCAAACCTATTCCTATCATCCCCAGGTATAGGCCTGGCCGACAAAGCCACAGAGTGGAAGGACAAGTACGGGCCAGTGTTCACCATGTACCTAGGTTCGAAACCCACCGTTGTTATTAACAGTATCGAAGCCATGACAGAAGCCTTCACGACCAGGGGCGACGATTTCGCCAACAGGCCTCACAGTGTCTCCCAGGATGCTCTCACCGATAACGGCAAAAACATTGCTTTTGCTGACTTCTCCGAGAGCTTGAAGTTCAGGAGGAAGAATGTTATGCAGGTAGGTACAAATAATAGTCCAGAAAAAAAAATTGAGCAGTCCCTCCACCAAAACTAACACTCCTCCCACCTACCCCCCTCCCCCCC